CACCACTACCATGGGAATTTGATCCATCACCATTACCACCACCAGATGTTGAAAAAAAAAAGACACTTGGGTACATTTCAGGACATTTATTAAAGGAAACGTTTCGCCCAGAGTGGTTTCTTCAGTCCTAATGCATAGATAACTAAGAAACCAGAATATTTAGTGGCAGAAGTCAGGTGAAATGTCGTGTGGGTACTAGTAGTAATAGTAGTAGTAGTAGTAGTAGTAGTAGTAGTAATAGTAGTCATTGTGGTGATACGGGATGGGTATGAGAAGGTCTTGTCAGCATCATGTTACAGCGATCTCCAGAATGGATAATAAATTGTTGATTAACAATCTGTTTAAGAATCGGGCCCATGAATTGTAGTTCAGTCTGTTAAACTAAATAATTCCAACTAGGTAATTACACACACACACACACACACACACGGGGCCAGGAGCTGAGTCTCGACCCCTGCAACCACAATTAGGTGAGTACACACACACACACACACACACACACACACACACACACACACACACACACATAAGTACCTTTGACAGTAACTACACACTCACACACACACTCACACACACACACACCTCGACCGAGACAGAACACAGGACGAAAGGAAGACAATGAAAGAGAGAGTTCAAAAACGAAAGGAGAAATGGGAGGAAATGAAAAAGGAGAGCAGAATAACCCAGGATCAAATGGAAGGACAAGCGCACCCCCCAGAAACACCTGCAGAAGGACTCCAGCCACGACACTCCCAAGGCAACTGAACAATCCAAACCAACCATCACACACCGATCCCTCTGTTTCCACCCCCGCACCACAGTTACAGTATTAGAACAGAAGTTGAAGGTTTGGCACACAAATGCAGATGGATTAACGAATAAACATGAGGAATGGCAAGAAAGAATCATTGAGAAGTCCCCAGACATCATAGCAGTTACAGAAACAAAACTCATGGAGACAATAACAGATGCAATCTTCCCACCAGGATACCAGATCATGAGGAAAGATAGAAGGGGCAGGGGGGGAGGTGGGGTTGCTCTGCTCGTAAAAAACAGATGGAAATTCGAGAAAATGGAAGGAATAGATGAGACGGGAGAAAGAGACTACATAGCAGGTACACTTCAGTCTGGGGAACACAAAGTGGTCATTGCAGTGTGAAATAATCCACCACAGAACTGCAGGAGGCCAAGAGAGGAATATGAAGAGAGCAACAGAGCAATGGTGGACACACTTGCTGAGGTGGCAAGAAGAGCTCACTCCAGCAGAGCAAAGTTGCTGGTTATGGGGGATTGACTGGGAAAACCTGGAGCCACATGGGGGTCCCGAAACATGGAGAGCCAGGATGTTGGACGTGGTGCTGGAAAACCTCATGCACCAACATGTTAAGGACACTACCAGAGTGAGAGGGGAGGATGAACCAGCAAGATTGGACCTTATGTTCACCCTGGGCAGCTCAGACATTGAGGACATCAAGTATGAGAGTCCCCTAGGAGCTAGCGACCACGTGGTTCTATGCTTTGAATACATAGTAGAGCTGCAAGTGGAGAGAATAACAGGAGTAGAATGGAAAAAGCCTGACTATAAAAGAGGGGACTACATAGGGTTGAAGAACTTCCTGCGGGAGGTCCAGTGGGACAGAGAACTGGCAGGAAAGCCAGTAAATGAAATGATGGAATATGTAGCAACAAAATGCAAGGAGGCAGTGGAAAGGTTCATTCCCAAGGGCAACAGTAACAACGGGAAGACCAGAACGAGCCCCTGGTTTACCCGACGGTGTAAGGAGGCAAAAACAAAGTGCAATAGAGAATGGAAAAAAGTACAGAAGGCAGAGAACACACGAAAATAGGGAGATCAGTCGCAGAGCCAGGAATGAGTACGCACAGGTAAGGAGGGAGGCCCAGACAGTATGAAAATGACATAGCATCGAGAATCAAGACTGACCCGAAACTGTTGTATAGCCACATCAGGAGGAAGACAACAGTCAAAGACCAGGTGATCAGATTAAGGACAGAAGGTGGAGAACTCACAAGAAATGATCAGGAGGTATGTGAGGAGCTGAACAGGAGATTTAAGGAAGTTTTTACAGTAGAGACAGGAAGGGCTGTGGAAGACAGCACAGAAGGGAACATCAAGAGGGAATATACCAACAAGTGTTGGATGACATACGAACAACTGAGGAGGAGGTGAAGAAGCTCTTAAGTGACCTTGACACCTCAAAGGCGATGGGACCGGACAACATCTCCCCATGGGTCCTTAGAGAAGGAGCAGAGATGCTGTGTGTGCCTCTAACCACAATCTTCAACACATCCTTGAAACTGGGCAACTACCTGAGAAATGGAAGACAGCTAATGTAGTCCCCATATTTAAGAAAGGAAACAGAAACGAGGCACTAAACTACAGACCTGTGTCTCTGACATGTATTGTGTGCAAGTCATGGAGAAGATTATCAGGAGGAGAGTGGTCGAACACCTGGAAAGGAACAAGATTATAAATGAAAACCAGCATGGGTTCATGGAAGGCAAATCTTGTATCACAAACCTCCTGGAGTTTTATGACAAGGTAACAGAAGTAAGACACGAGAGAGAGGGGTGGGTAGATTGCGTTTTCCTAGACTGCAGGAAGGCCTTTGACACAGTTCCCCACAAGAGATTAGTGCAGAAGCTGGAGGATCAGGCACACGTAAAAGGAAGGGCACTGCAATGGATAAGGGAATACCTGACAGGGAGGCAGCAACGAGTCATGGTACGTGAAGAGGTATCACCTGTTACGAGCGGGGTCCCACAGGGGTCAGTTCTAGGACCAGTGCTATTTTTGATATATGTGAACAACATGATGGAAGGAATAGACTCTGAAGTGTCCCTGTTCGCAGATGACGTGAAGTTGATGAGAAGAATTAAATCGGACGAGGATGAGGCAGGACTGCAAAGAGACCTGGAGAGGCTGGACATGTGGTCCAGTAACTGGCTTCTCGAATTCAATCCAGCCAAATGCAAAGTCATGAAGATTGGGGAGGGGCAAAGAAGACCGCAGACAGAGTATAGGCTAGGTGGACAAAGACTACAGACCTCACTCAGGGAGAAAGACCTTGGGGTGACCATAACACCGAGCACATCAACGGAGGCACACATCAACCAAATAACCGCTGCAGCATACGGGCGCCTGGCAAACCTGAGAATAGCGTTCCGATACCTTAATAAGGAATCGTTCAAGACACTGTACACTGTGTATGTTAGGCCCATACTGGAGTATGCAGCACCAGTCTGGAACCCACACCTGGTCAAGCACGTCAAGAAGTTAGAGAAAGTACAAAGGTTTGCAACAAGGCTAGTCCCAGAGCTCAAGGGAATGTCGTACGAGGCAAGGTTAAGGGAAGTCGGAATAGACACTGAGGACAGAAGGTCAGGGGACATGATAACGACATACATAGTATAAGCGGGGAATAGAAAGGTGGACAGATAGGTGTCCAGAGAGGGACAAGGGACAAGGAGGTCACAACTGGAAGCTGAGACTCATGAGAGGTCACAGGGACGTAGGAAGATTTCTTCGTCATAGAGTTTCGACCAGTGGAATACCTAGCAGTGAAGTATAGAGGAGTAACATACATAGGTGTTAAAAGGTATGACAAAGCTCAGCGAAGCAGACGAAGAGAGGATCCAGTGCGATCAGTGAGTAGGAGGCTCAGGAGCTTTCTCGACCCCTGCACAACACACAATTAGGTGGTACACTTAGGTGAGTACCACACCACACAACACACACACACACAACACACAACAGTACCTTTGACAGTTATACTACACACTCACACACACCCCACACACACACACATCACACACACACACACACACACACACACACACACCACACACCCCACACCAAGTACCTTTGACATTTAACTAACTACACACACACACACACCACACACCACACACACACAACCACACACACACACCAACACACACACAACTCACACTACCACACACACACACACAAACCACAACCTACACACACACACAACACACACCCACACACACACACACACACACACACACCACACACACACACACACACACACACACACACAGAGGCAGTCCACATGACTGAGCTTCCTAACTAGGAAAATTTGAGCAGAATTTGGGCAGTGCACTTGAGCGAGTCACTGTAGCGAGGCAATGAGTTCTGTACACGGTCAAATATCCTCGTTTCGTGGGAATTACCTTCGTGACAGCAATACTGACGCAGCGGGAGAACGTTTCGCTCTGTGTAGAGCTCCAAACGCGAACCATTCAGTGTAAACTAAAAGGACACAAGTGCAACTAATGTGGCATTTTATTGTGGCAACGTTTCACTCTCCAGGAGCTTTGTCAAGCCGTTTTCAAGCCGAGAAGCATTCAGGAGAGAAACACGGTTTAACACAGCACAAAATGCAGTTTATGACGTTTTATCGAGAAGACGTTTCGACCTCCAGGGAATATATTAATGGTGAATGAAATGTTAAAATAGACACAAATGCAGCATAATGCACCCTTTATTGACTACGTTTCGCCCGCTCACTGTCGGTATTTTATACCATTTATCTCGAAGGAAATAATTAATAATTTAATAATTTAATAATAATAATAATAATATTATTATTATTATTATTATTATTATTATTATTATTATTATTATTATTATTATTTTATTATTATTATTATTATTATTATTATTATTTATTATTATTATTTATTATTATTATTATTATTATTATTATTATTATTATTATTATTTATTATTATTATTATTATTATTTATTATTATTATTTATTATTATTATTATTATTATTATTATTATTATATTATTATTATTATTTATTATATTATTATTATTATTATTATTATTATTATTATTATATTATTATTTATTATTATTTATATTATTATTATTTATTATTATTATTATTATTATTCGGATGCAAAGCTATGTTTTGAAGAAGATAATTAATGTTTAGATTTCCCTACCTGCATTTCCAATTTTTTTAGTTACCAGTGTAATTATCTCTTAATTTCGTTCTTCGATATTTCTAATTTTTTTCATTATATATATACCTATTATTAACAACACTGATGATGGTATTTCGAAACAGGAATATATGGACAGGGAGGTGGCACTCCTCCCTGGACAGAATCTATTTTCTTGGGTCAAAAAGAATGCCTCCTATTCTCAGTGCCTCCCATTTTCTCTTTGCCTGCCATTCTCTTTGCCTCCCATTCTCTTTGCTTCCTATTCTCAGTGTCTCCCATTCTCTCTGTGCCCCTCATTCTTAGTGCCTCCCACCCTCAGTGCCCCTCATTCTCAGTGCCTCCCATTCTCAGTGCCTCCCATTCACAGTGCCTCCCATTCTCAGTGCCTCCCATTCACAGTGCCTCCCATTCACAGTGCCTCCCATTCACAGTGCCTCCCATTCTCAGTGCCTCCCACCCTCAGTGCCCCTCATTCTTAGTGACTCCCACCCTCAGTGCCCCTCATTCTCAGTGCCTCCCATTCACAGTGCCTTCCATTCTCAATGCCTTCCATTCTCAGTGCTTCCCACTCTCAGTGTCCCAGGCGTGATGCTTAGAAATCAGAAAATAATAAAGTAACGTAAATTGATCTTTAATTGACATTCCACTGAGGCGGAGACGATAAGAGATCGTGTCATATGCAGCAAAGACTCGGAAGTAGAAGGTAACAGAATTACAGTTAGATACTGGAGAAGCCATGTCATACGCAGCAGCGACAGGAGCCATTAGCAACTAAGCAATGTTCCTTCTTTCTTATGTAACCCATAAATTCTAGATGAAACGTGGCAACGTTTCGACCCATCCAGAACCATTATCATGTAAATATTAAATACATTTACCTAATATAGCCTTGAAGCTCACGCACGAGGCATTAGATATTTGTTCTTTGGTATTTCCAGTAATGTACAGGAGGCTTCGAAAGTGGGCGTGTGTTACTCTGGGTGTGGGGACTATCTCCTGGACCCTCCTTGTCTTACTCCACCTCCAGGGGCACCTCCAAAGACACAGCAACCACCTCCAGCACCCCCCACTCCTCCAAGGTATGGATAATAATGCAAGTATGTTCCATGTCATTCCAATCCAGGATATATTGATGGATAGTGGAAGTGAAATATTTTCAACACGTGAAATTCTGTTATCTTCTTTAGGTTTAAGATGGATAGAGGATGTGAAAGATGCTAAGGATGAGGTACTGAAGAACGCGAAACAGGAGGAGTTGGAGGACGCAATGCAGGAGACGCTAAGGAACAATATGAAGGAAGAGGTGCCGAAGAACGTAAAGCAAGTGGTGGTGAAGAACATGAAACAGGTGCTAAAGAACATGGAGCAGGTGGTGGTGAAGGACGCAAAGCAGGAGGTATTGAAGAATAAGAAGCAAGAGGTGATGACTTCGCAGGACGTGAGAGAAAAGAGTAACATCACTGAGGGCGTGAAGGAGGTGTTGACTTCGCGGAGTCAAAGAGAGGAGACTAACATTGTTGAGAGCCACAATGATGTCGCCTCCACCATTAGCATTCCTGGTCTGGGACATTCCCCTAAAGACTATCTCTTTTATGACGAGGTGAGTAATCCAGAAGCAGTAAATCCGTAAGGATGGTTTTAACGACTTGATCTAGCGATGTTTTAACGACTTAGTCTGGTGGGATTTAAGAGCTGGTAATAGACACGTAAACAAGCACTTGTTTACGTGTCTTTCTAAACCAATCCCCTCAGGTGTTTTCCAACGAGTCGTGGGTTCGCTGGCCTCTCATGGTCTTTGACACCGTGGGTCGACTAGGCAATTGTCTCAACAGCTACGCTACGGCTTTGATTTTCAGCGCTGACTGGGGCAGGTTTCCGCTCACCGTTGCTGTCACTCAGCATGTCTTCAAGGGCGTGTCGACGCTGCTGGCTCGTCAGCACCTGCCTCTGCCTGTCGTTAGTGAGTGGAACAAAAGCCATTTGCAGGTGACCCGATTATTTGAGCACAAACAGAAAGAGCGTCTGTCTGGCGCTCAGTAGACGGAGGATCAAGCTTCCAACACGTCTTACGTTGAATGACCCACATGGGTTTAGTGCTCAACGTGAATTATAAAATTCGTTAATAATTTTTAACAGTAAAATGATATTGATAATTATTGTAACTGTAATAATAATTAATATAATAATAGTAATTTATAACAGTAATGATAATATTTATTATTACAGTTATAATGATTAATTATTATTAATTTTAACGATTAATAATTATAATTATAAAGGTTAATTATTATTTATTATAATTATGACATAATTATTGTAATAAGAAAAAGAAAAGAAATGTAATAGCAATAATAATAATAATAATAATAATAATAATAATAATAATAATAATAATAATAATAAATTAGGTTTCCTCTTCAAATTATTGATTATTTATGAATACAGTGAAAATTTGATAATTAGGCTGATAAACTGAATAATTACCCCACAATTAGGTCACGAACTATTAATGGACGTGTACGACGTGGGTGAAGTGGAACGAGTCGATCCAGATTACTTTAAGAACGACATGATGAGTCATCTGGAACCTACGTTCCGGAAGGCAATCTCAGAGCATCTCGTAGATGGGCAAGAAAAGCTCTACCTGCTGCCAGGTGAGTGTAGGTACGTGGGTGTACATGAGTACGTGGGAGTACACGAGTACGTGGGAGTACATGGGTACGTGGGAGTACACGAGTACGTGGGAGTACATGGGTACGTGGGAGTACATGGGTACGTGGGAGTACATGGGTACGTGGGAGTACACGAGTACGTGGGAGTACATGAGTACGTGGGAGTACACGAGTACGTGGGAGTACTTGGGTACGTGGGAGTACACGAGTACGTGGGAGTACATGGGTACGTGGGAGTACATGGGTACGTGGGAGTACATGGGTACGTGGGAGTACACGAGTACGTGGGAGTACATGAGTACGTGGGGATACGTGGGAAAGACGTGAACAATAATAATTGACTCACGAAATATACTTAGAAATATGTCAAGATGGATGAATCTTATTAGAGCCAGCTGGCCCAGTGGTTAACGCACTGGCCTGTGAGCTTTTACGACTCACTAGCCATGGATTCAAATCCCATCCGTTCTTTGATTAAATAATAATAATAATAATAATAATAATAATAATAATAATAATAATAATAATAATAATAATAATAATAATAATAATAATCTATTTGGATAATGTAGCAGGACATGATTAATTGTGAATTAGAAAACAGTCAAATTACTCTGTTCATATCAACAGTAAACCTAAGAATTATTAGATGTGTATAAGTATTTAACATTCTAAATCTGCACACGGTTCTTAGTGCACGATAAACGTTCGAGGAATTTAACATTTGTATACCAACAAGGTATTACCCGCGTTTTTAGTGATTATCTTTCTTGCCTACAGGATATCCTAACCCGCTAAGGAAGCTTGCTAACCACCACAGCGTCATCCGTAGCGTCTTCAAGATCCGGCCCGTCCTTCAGGCAAGGGTAACCACACAATCTTTTTCTAAAGTACATTTAGCTCTGTTGTGGGGCCTTCGTTCTGTATTCATATGCCATACTACTATCATACATGTCATCTCAGCCAGAGTCCTTTAGGATGAGTCGACCATCCTTAAATTGGATGGTCAGAATGGTCCAAGTTGGGCCAAAACGTCGTGGTAAGCTCTTCTCTTCTATGTGCGGGTTATTTGTGTATCGTTCCAGTCACGGTATTGTGCTTCTTGTTCTTTGCTGGTCTAGTTAAGAAAGTGCTGCAGCCGTCTGATGTTTCAGAGAGAGGGTGGGTAGCCTGGAAAGATTACCTCGCTTCTAGGAACACCTCAGTTCATCAGACACTCTTGTGCCTCCTGCTATTAAACTTCACACTAGTTTCCCTTCCTTGTCGGGCTGTGTTTTCACTAATATAGTTGAGTGTTCTCATGTACTTTTTACTACAATTTAACTTGTACTGGACTTAATACTTAACTGAATATTGTATACATACATTCTTATACTGGGAATGTAAGCTATATGACAAAGTCACATTGTGTATAAAGATAGAACGTAAATTGGCACAAACAATATGGATCAAAGAACACCAGTGCATGTACTCACGACACCTTTATTGGAAAGGATATCCAGAGAGTATGTACTTGTGACCTTTCGTCCTCACACTGTGTACACTTTAATTCCTTGTTTCTGAGTGAATTCTGCCTCTGCTTAGCTGGTTTATATCATGACCTGAGGGACTGATTACCTCAAACTATCTCTCCACCACTTAAGGATTAAAATTAGCCTCTGCATTCGACTGTCGAAACATGCATCTCAGGCGGAACTAATAGTCAACAAAGGTACCCTAGTGATGCTCATGCGTCTTACTCATGAACTTGCCGATGATGTACACCGTCACTCACGAAATACAAACTCCAAACCTTAATTTTTAAAGGGGTGGACCGGTAAGCCAGCGGAAGGCCTCAGTCATGTGACCAAAAGCTCCAACTGTGGGTCATCATCTGACTAAGACCCCCACGTCAGGAAGCACTTGTCCTGTTTCCTGACGAACCTTACCTAACCTAACGTAACCTAACTCACGAAATAGCAACCTTCTTCCTACAAGCCATTGGAAAAACAAATTTGGGGTTGTAACAAAACCTTTGCCTATGTCGTTCTTACTGGCACTGTGGCTCTTCCAGGCACTGTCGTTCCTGAACCGTGTGCGGGCGGCCAACAGGGGCAACATCACCTTCGTAGGCGTTCACATACGTAGAAAGGACTATGTAAGCTTTGCGAAGGTCAGTCAATCACTGCCAAATATAAGAAATATCGGAAAGGGATTTTTCCCTCCCTCCAGTGACCTTAAAGTCTTTACATACCATATTATAGACCTACAATAATAATAATAATAAAATAATAATAATAATAATAATAAATATCAGTAGTAATAACAGCGAAATATATACTAAAAATAATATAAATTATTATTATTATTATTATTATTATTATTATTATTATTATTATTATTATTATTATAAATGGTATTATTAATTGTATTATTATTATTACATATGATGATTATTATTTCCTAAAAACACACAAAAGCATTGCAATTTTTTATTAATATTGTCAAATTCAGGAGGAAACGCTAAAACCGTTGGGGTAGGGGTCATGCAGGACCTGAGAAAATGGGAGGTAATAAGGTTCGAGCCAAGGAAGGGGAGGATAGCTTCCTATATCCCAGGATTACACCTGGATTAGTTTCTAACCTCTCGTGTCCACAGCAGACGTTTTACCGGTGCAAGTTACCGGGACCCGGATATTATCTAAGAGCCATACAACACTACCGGGCAACACTGACCAACCCAGTGTTCGTGGTGTGTTCGGACGATCTCCCGAGCGTTCGAATACATCTTCAGAACGCCACTGATGTTGTCATCTCAGGTGAGGGATTAATCTCTCTCTCTCTCTCTCTCTCTCTCTCTCTCTCTCTCTCTCTCTCTCTCTCTCTCTCTCTCTCTCTCTCTCTCTCTCTCTCTCCCTTTCTCTCTCTCTATTTAAGATCAATCTCTATGTTTCTCACCCTATTTAAGGTCAATCTCTGTTTCTCACCCTATTTAAGATCAATCTCTGTTTCTCACCCTATTTAAGATCAATCTCTGTTTCTCACCCTATTTAAGATCAATCTCTGTTTCTCACCCTATTTAAGATCACTTTCTATGTTTCCCACTCTAAGATCAGTCTCTGTTTCCCACTGTAATTAGGATCAGTCTCTAAATTTCCCATATTTAAGCTCTATCTCTAGGCTCCCCACCCTATTTAAGATCAATGCCAAGGTTTAAACTCTAAGACAATGTCTAGGAGAGACGAGCGAACTTAGTTAATATATTATCTGTCTCTAGTGTAGCTATACATTAGATATATTTAAAACGATAATCTAATTTCTTCCCTTTCCAGACCAGAAACACCCTGAAGAGGACCTGGCATTATTGGCCTCATGCACCCACTCAGTCATGACTGTTGGCTCTTTCGGGTTTTGGGCTTCCTACCTGGCTGGAGGAAGAGTGGTCTACCCACTCATCAAGAACTGTTCCCACTCGCCCTTCGTTAGTCCTGGGACACTTGGTCCCAGGGGATACCCAAACTGGTTGGCTCTTCCTGTCTAAAGGCTTTACCCAATTTACATTCTTCTTAGTTTCTTTCTTTCCTCTTCTTCTTTTCCTTTTCTTCTTCCTCTTATTATTATTATTAGTAGTATTATTTTAGTATTATTATTACTGTTATTATTGATTTTTCTTTCTTTCAACACACCGGCCGTATCTCACCGAGGCAGGGTGGCCCAAAAGAGAAAACAAAAGTGTCTCCTTTTAAATTTAGTAATATATACAGGAGAAGGGGTTACTAGCCCCTTGCTCCCAGCATTTTAGTCGCCTCTTACAACACGCATGGCTTACGGAGGAAGAATTCTGTTCCACTTCCCCATGGAGATAAGAGGAAATAAACAAGAACAAGAACTAGAAAGAAAATAGCAGAAAACCCAGAGGGATGTATATATATATATATATATTATATATATATTATATTATAATATATTTTTAAGGTAGTAGGTTGGTAGACACAACCGCCCAGGGAGGTACTACCGTCCTGCCAGTGAGTGTAAAACGTAAGCCTGAAATTGTTTTACACGATGGTAGGATTGCTGGTGTTTTTTCTGTTCATAAACATGCAAGGTTTCAGGTACGTCTTGCTACTTCTGCTTACCTTAGGTCACACTACACATACATGTACAAGCATATGTATACCCCCCCTCTGGGTTTTCTTCTATTTTCTTACTAGCTCTTGTTCTTGTTTATTTCCTCTTATCTCCATGGGGAAGTGGAACAGAATTCTTCCTCCGTAAAGCTATGCGTGTTGTAAGAGGCGACTAAAATGCCCGGAGCAAGGGGCTAGTAACCCCTTCTCCTGTATATATTACTAAATATGAAAGGAGAAACTTTTGTTTTTCCTTTTGGGCCAAACCCCCCCTCGGTTGGGTACGGCTGGTGTGTTGAAAAAAAGAAAGATATTATATATTTATATATATATTATATATTATATATATATATATATATATATTTATATATATATTTATATATATATTTCTTTTGGGACACGTATATGTAGCGCGATCTAAGTGTAAGTAGAAGTAGCAAGACGTACCTGAAATCTTGCATGTGTATGAGACAGAAAAAAGACACCAGCAATCCTACCATCGTGTAAAACAATTACAGGCTTCAGTTTTACACTCACTTGGCAGGACGGTAGTACCTCCCTGGGTGGTTGCTGTCTACCAACCTACTACCTATATTATTGATTTTATTGATGATTATGTAATTATTACCTTCATAGTCATTATTATTAATTATTATTTTTTCTTAGAATTATTAATATCGCTAGTTTTATTATTATTATTAGTAGTAGTAGTAGTGGTAGTAGTAGAAGAAGGATAGTACTACCATTTTCCACTAAACTTTACTTCCTGTGCAATAAAGGTTACACTCAAATTTCTTTGCAACTCAAAAGAAATAAAATAAGCAAAATTTATAGCTTTATTTGGAAGACAATAACTCAATAAAATTACAGAGATATACTTTATTAACTAAGAGACAGCACTATTATATATTATATATATATATATATATATATATATATATTATATATAATATATATTATATAGGGTAATTAATCAGGCTTGATCTGAGGAACAGGAGGATATCCCCAATTCCTTGGATCAAGAGCCTTGAAGACTATCAAGGAACCTTCCCTCACACTAGAGGTTTCAAAATGAATTACTATTATTATTATTATTATTATTATTATTATTATTATTATTATTATTCATATGCTGCCATGAACGTGAGTGTACAGAATATGGGAACCATCTACAGCATACGCTTCTACAGAAAAGCATTAGCCACACATGGTACCATGCTAAACGATATGGAACTCTGTATACCATAAAATCTGTAACAACCTACCATGGTAGCTTAACTACCTATAACAGTCACATGCTCCATTTTTGGGTTAGAAGGTCATGTGGTTTTTCGCTCACCATGAGGCGAGTCAAAACATGGGTTTGAACCCTTGGCTAGTCGCAGTGTTCACAAAACTTAAAAGATACATCGCTGGTACAAAGATGGTTACACTTCAAGTACATATTGTTTATCACAGATTACAGTGTGGAAATCTCCTCCAGTTTGTCAGAGCTGGGGCGCGTACCCAGGATACTGCAGGCATTACCCCTCTGAACGCCAGCGCTCTGGTCGCTGGAATAGAAAACTAGCTGCCTGGGGTCACTAGTTGCCCTGGATTAGTCCTTTGCTAGCGCTCCATAATGAAACTTAGCTGCATTCTTTTCCCAGAGCCCAGGGTCTCTGAGCCTATGGGATCAAACATATAATGATGGGCAAGTTCACTGTATTTTCTAGACTTTTGGGACTCCCTGAAGCTTACCTATAATTATGCAAAACTACACTGTGCAAAAAAATAGTGAAATTCCAGCGCTTTCGTGCGATTCTCACCTTTATCAAGCAATTGTTCCTTGATATTGTAGAGAAATTCACTATTAGTTCAGACAGTGGTTGTATTGCTATATTGAACTATAGCACATGTCTTACTGTGATTATTACACACCACCCACCCCACTTTTTTATATATTATATATATACTATATATATTATAATATAATATATATAAATATATATATTATATTATATATAGGGACCAGTACACCTCTATCGGTGGATTTGGGACCCCTTCCATCCTCAGAAACGACAACTAAACGATACCTCAGCGAAACTCAAGGTTCTCCGGCGCTGTTTGAATATTTTCTTCCTCTCTACCTCACCACCCTATATGTTTATTATTCTATGTGAAACAATTATTAATAAACAAAATACAATTACAGAGAAGAGTAAAAAACATAAACATGAAAACAATGGCACCATTGTATCAAGATGATGAATTTCCTCCCAGCTCGACTCCGAGGCTGAGACGTGAAGCCAGTATGCAGCAGCATTTCCCCTCTGGCTGGCGACGCTGAGGCGCTCGTGGGACCATGAAAGTGGCTGCCCTTGGGTCCTGGTGGTGACGATGAGTTGGAACCAATTTTTTAAGCGGTAACTTGTGGCATTTTTTCCCCATGATCCAGGTCTCGATCCCACTGGGACAATTTGATACTGTTGGCCTAATGTACCTGTACTTTGCTGATCTTGTAACTCCTCCTGTCCTCTCTTCTGGTCAGGCAGTCCTCCCTGTCGCCCCACACTGTGACGGCCTATAGGTGTCAGCCAGTGTGGACACCACATGGTATAGTCCCATGCTAAGAGCTTGCCATTCTTCCAAGGATAGATGGCGCTGAATCCGTCGGGCGCGGTGCGGCTGGGGTGTGTAGGGTATTGTTTGCTGCTAAGTGATCGTGGGCTCCCTCACGGCGGGCAATCCAGCCTGTACGCAAGAGGTTCTTCTTACACGTTGTCGTTGACCTCGTTTCGGTGTCTTTGCATGCAGCACCATGGTTTTTGGAACAGTTAAGACCCATGTTAAGACGTATTGTGTCTGCTTGCACTTCGCCAAATATCACACTATATTCCAGTTGTGAATTGGGGCAGCAAGGCAGCAGAGCCACTGCAATACGGAGGGTCATAGGGTCGAGTCGATCGTCCACATTGTACGATATGGGAACTTGTTTGGAGGAAGTCCCGGAGTGAGGTGCCACTCCACCAGACCCCTGGAGACGGGCAATCTCCTACCTTATCTGATGTTGCAGCCATAGAGAATGTATGCATGCACCTTTCTCAGCAATTGGGCTAATCCCAGCTTGACTGTTTGTGCAGCAGTGCCTGCAACTCGGGTTTGGTGGGATGGAGCAGCAAGAGTATCCCATTTACGGTAGATGGCACCTGACATAGCTCGGTCTTCTATTACTGCCTGCGTCACTGAGGTGGTGTCAGGAAAGAAATTTTTCTTATCAACTCGTTTGATGCAAAGGAAGAGGATAGGAAAGCTGGTATAGAGCAATCTTGGAGAGGATCTGCGTACTCCTAGCCCTCCAAGCCTGACGGCAAGTGAGGCTTGCCACCACTGTCCATGTCAAGAGGGAAAGATCTCAATTACACTCTCTCGCACTGGCCTTCAGGATAGAGACGCGCATATTCCTTGACGTTTTGACTGCTGAAGGCTGGGCGAGCATCTCAGACAAATAGATCAAGTTTTGGCAGCGTTGACAGGCACCTGGTGGTAGGTTAAAAAGGCCTGTATGTGTGTGTCAATGTTTTCATCCTGCTTATGCCATCGTCTTTTACGGAGGTTGAGACTTTTTTTTTTCCTAGGACCAGATCGATGGCACTTGGACCCAAGAGGAGCACCGAGGAGAGTGTATTGCTGGATCATGGCGGGGCCCTCCGGGTTTTTGCCTCCGGGTTATTAAAACGGTATGATGATTTCTGTATCAACTGTTGATTGGTAGAAACTAATTTCACATTGGTGGGGTTTTAAAGAAAGGCCCGGCTTTCTCCCATTGTCTTTAATGTTACTGATGTCTCCCAGGAGAGACTCTGTGTGCCAAGCCAGGGTCACCGTCGTCAGAACCAGATATTGCTCGCTTGCGGAGTAGTGGCCTCCTGTCGATACTTCCTTGATGACCAAAACAAAGATAGAAAGGGGGCTGACGAGGGTCCCCCTGGTTGCACGCCCTCACACGAGTCAATTTCATGGTCCCCACAAACAATAGTTTTTGAAGTCACACTATAAACACGATTCTATGAAGGGATTAAAGGGATAGGCGCAAGTTCTCTACTAATCCACTGTTGGAGAGCAGCTTCTACCTCTCTCCGACTGAGCCCCCCCCCGCAGTTTGAAAGCAATTGGCAAAGTCATTTGACCCAAGGCTTTTTCAATTGGACCTGTTTTCTGATATATACTCGTGTCTGCCCGTGGGCAGCATGCTTCACGCCTGTTGACGCCGCGAAAACCCGAGCTGAGTGGTTTCGCATTGCAGCGACTCTTGACTCACTTCTTACTGCCGCCTTGGCGACTAGGAGCCCGAAAGGGTGCTTACCCACTGCAATGCGGCCTTGATTCCGCCATTCCTTTTGCGGAGGGCACACAATGAGGCACCAACAGAAAAGGGTTTGATAGGCTTGGTGACCCGCCAGCCATGGCACAGGTTGTAAAAATTTAGGTGTAGTGTGTTCAGACTGCAGCCTCTCCTCTGACGAAAACCTCACCAAGTGCTGGATTGAGAGTATCTTGTTTATGTGTTGAAGCCCTTAAACAGTGAAACCTCCTGCTAAAACCATGTGGAAAATGATCATAGCCGCTTTATAACATCAGCATCCTGTAGTTAGATGTTCTTCGCCTGCCTGCAATTAGGTGGTCATGTTGGTACTGGGAGCTGGGTTGGATCGTTTGTCCTTCAGAGCTTTTTTTGTTTTTTTAGGTTTTGTCTTTTTTTTTGGGCCGGTTTTGCTATGACGTCCTTGGGTGCGATGGTATCCTCACTGGTTATAAGTCTCAAAAGCTCAATAGTATACCCTCTTCTAATTTTTTTGCTAATTTGGGCTCTGAATTTTTGATGGTGTTCGGGTTGTCATGTTGTGGGCATTTGCCCGGGCGGGGGTTTGTCGCCCTAGGGGGGAGACTCGGACGAGTTGTCATCCCTGGGAAGGCCACTTTATTGCCACTAATAAACATGAGATTCTTGCTAGTGACTTGTCCCTCCTTGGTGGGACAGCAAACAGCATGCCAAAAAGCAGCAAGTAGTGCCAGGATGCTGTTGGTTGAAGGAGCATCGTTTGACTTTCTCAGAAGGGTCAGTGAATTCTGCTAGCTGCTGAGGGCGAGCCTGCTCGTGGGGATGTGTGTCAGAGTCCTGTTGGAGTACATTTGATTGCAGAATTTGAGGTCCTCTGTAGAGGTGAAGTCACGGTAGCTGTTCAGCCCTGTCTGCTGGGGAGGCTGTTGGTCTGCTTCGTTTGAAGCTATCATGGAGCCTAGACATCTCATTGTGTGCACGGACATGTTGCCAGATGTGGATTGAGTGCACATTCCCTGTGGCACACCCGGGCAGAGTGCCTCCTTGTGAACGACAGCTATTGGCTCTGTGTGAGATTTTCCTGGGAACGCGGTCTACTTGTCGACATTGCTGATAATCTTTGGGGGTGGGCTCGGGCGTGCCAGCTGTGGGGTGGACGGTTGAGTGAAGGACAGCCATGGATGCATGGCGGGATCCGAGTTGGTGGGGGACGTAGAGTAGCGAGCGGCGCGAACTTGAAAATTGGTGGGGCACTAAACGGCAAACCCTTGGTCTTGGAAGTCAGTGGGCCTAGGCTGGGATGAGGGGAGGGGATCTGGAGATGGCGGTGCAGGAGGGGCGGGAGTGGCCTGTGTGTTTCGCTCAAGCCTGCACATCACTGACTAACCGTTTTGCCTAATTGTTATACACTTATGTTCCATTTTAGAAAAAAACCTGCCAATTTGGCCACACACTAATCACCATGCTCCACACTATTATAACTCGAGGCGTGTCTTCTCGATCACCATCCAATGATCCGTCGTCGTGGGCGGCCATTCTTCCCCAACCACGACCCCGGCCGGATCACAGATGTAAACAAAACCTCCTCCACAACCTCCACTGCCAGGACCCCTCCGCCACGCCTACTGCCCAAATCCCGAACATGCCGACTGGCACTTTCACTGATTTAGAAGCAATTTTACCTTACTTACGCGTCCGATGTATATAAGCTATTATATATATAATTTATATATATTATTATATGATATATACTTATACCTATACTAATATATATAAATATACTATCTACTATATATAGGGAGAGTACATATATATACATTTATATATCATTTACCAAACTTGCGGAGGCCAGGAACTCTACCCTCTCGAATCTTTCGTACCACCCTCTAGGACAGCACAATTGTATGAATACCTTACCACTTACGCCATCGATCTACTAAGGATGCGTACATTGTGCTGTCTCGGTAGGCGGCACATAAGCATTAGTAGTGGTTCGAATCCTGGCCTGCTGCAGCTTGGATAAATGATTAAGAAATCACTTGTATCAGTGCTGATTTCATTGTCTATATATATTATTGTATAATTAATATCTCCTATATAAGATATTATATTATTATATATATATATATTATTTTAACTTAGAATATTATATCTTTTCATAAAATCGAATAGTTACTATACAGTTTTTTCAATGCTTAAATTAAATCAATCGGTATAATAATATGATAGTATTTTAAGAGTATTCCTTTTTTTCTAGGTGCGCTGATGAAAATATTGTCATGTAGCCTTTTTTGTCAAGCCTCTGTGTAGGCGATCGGCTACTCAACTTTGATTGACTCCATCAAGATGGCAAACACACGAAGTTTTTCTAGATGCTATTATTGTAACTTCATGGGGAAGCGTTAAATTGAATCAATGCTCCGTACGGGGTTATAACGCACTGACGTGAATGGAGGGCAGACAGGTTTGACCGAAAATTGGGAGGAACGGGCTGTCCCAGCTGGCCTAGGATGATGAGCCGAATCAAGAGCACAAAGGCACGCTTCATTGAAGGGTCAGCAAAGGGCCTGAAGAGAGTGAGAGGATGAGTCAACAGCTCCAGGACTAGCCTTTCCATCAAGTTGACGTAATCTAGTGCTCTTAGTAGATACCATGTATATCAAGTTATATACCTGTATACCAAGATATACCATTTATATCATGTTTACAAAGTATTACAATGTATATATGTACTACCATGTATATCTGTTAGGTTGTAGAAGATTGTCATGTGAGAAAATTGTCTTGTGAGAAGGTTGTCAGGTTAGAAGGTTGTCAGGTTAGAAGGTTGTCAGGTTACAGGCTGTCAGATTAGAAAACTGTCAGCATGGTAGGTGTTGGAAGCCACCAGCAGGTTTGTATGTATGATGAGTTGGGATGAAAAACCAGATAATTGTGGTTTGGGTGTGGATTACGCAGGTGGGTTGAGAGATACGGGGTTAGGTGGGTGGTGGTGGGCAGGTGGTTGGTGGTCAGTTGGGGCAGGTAGTGTGGGATTACCTGTGCAATTGCATAAACACTAGCATGATCGTGCAATGTCACCAGAGGTTAGTTTGCAAGTCAAACTGGTAACATACAGTGTGTGTTTGTGTGTGTGTGTGTGTGTGTGTGTGTGTGTGTGTGTGTGTGTGTGTGTGTGTGTGTGTGTACTCACCTATATGTGGTTGCACGGGTCGATTCACAGCTCCTGGCCTGTGCGCATGTGAGTTTGCTAAGTACCCAGCCATCACCCATATTCAATTTGCCTACCGTTCTCCCAACACTGTGATTCCCATGGCTTGCGCTAATCATGCAAATGATTATGCAAATGAGCATGCAAAACGAACACACTCAAACAACAAACACACTTGAGCTATCATCTTAGGAGACAGGTACAAGATGCGCTAATCAGAACTAATTAGCAACACTTCCTGATTTCTAATTTCTTCCTGGTTACTTTTAAGTTATTATCAAGAATCTATCATTTTGTAATCGTATAACCAGCTTGTAACTACCCACAACTGGAAGGTGCTTTAGGCTACGTTTCGCTCATTCCCGAACCATTATTAAGCCCCGATTTAAACACAGCGAGTAATGACTAAGATACAGTGAGATTTCAGGCTATGAGGTTACAGAAGTTTGTGGATACAGGAAGGGTGGGTACAGGTTTTGTTAAGCTGATAAGGCTCTACATAGAGCGAAACGTTGTTACAATAAAAGCTTCTAAAATTATATATTTTTCTAGTCACGAACAGATGATGGTCCAGGAAGGACCGAAACGTCTGTAGGCTTCCTCTTCAAATTGTGGGTTGGGAACTGTTTGTCACTCAACTGTCACGTTTTGCCAGCCAGTGGCAAAACGTTTCCACGATAGAGATGCCCAAGTGCTATACAAGTATCTCATTCAACACTCAAGGACTCAACAGTTCATTCCACTCATCAACAGCTATTGATGTTACTTAATTCGACCACCAAACCAGTGTTTGGTGATCTAATTAAATAACATTGCTTATTTACACAAATCTCCCGCATCTATAATTGGTCCAAGTCGGACCGAATCGCCGTCATAGGCTTCTCTCTCCTGTCTACGGGTTGTGTATTGTTCTAGTCACGGTACTGTGATTTTTTGCTTTTACTATGCTCATTTGTTTTCCATATCACTATAACGTGTTTACTTATACCTATTGCGTTATTTTTGTCTCTGAACAGTGAAGTTGTAAAAAGAAATAAAGATAATAGAAATACTGAGGAGGCCTATTGGCTAGGCTTCTATATTTTTCTAACTCATTTTTTGAGCTGTACAAAATGTGGGTTCACTTGTGTTCTGTGTCTCCGAGCTCGGTGATGTACCCTGGTTTTGGCACTCAGTCACATCCCCGGCACTTGATAAATTGGGCATCTGTGGTAACGTTTCGCCACACAGTGGCGTCATCAGTCTAATACGAAGAAGATTGAACATTAAAATGGTATAAAATACCGACAGGTTGTTAGGTAAGACACATATGCAACAGTTAGGTATCTTTATTATGAAACGTTTCGCCTACACAGTAGGCTTCTTCAGTCGAGTACAGAAAAGTTGATAGAAGCAGAAGATACTTGAAGACGATGTAATCAGTCCATCACCCTTAAAGTTTTGAGGTGGTCAGTCCCTCAGTCTGGAGAAGAGCATTGTTCCGTTGTCTGAAACATATTGTTCCAGACTATGGAATAATGCTCTTCTCCAGACTGAGGGACTGACCACCTCAAAACTTTAAGGGTGATGGACTGATTACATCGTCTTCAAGTATCTTCTGCTTCTATCAACTTTTCTGTACTCGACTGAAGAAGCCTACTGTGTAGGCGAAACGTTTCGAAATAAAGATACCTAACTGTTACATATGTGTCTTACCTAACCACAAAGAAGAATGGTGAAGATCAAGAGTTTGTATGGGACTGATGAAGCCACTGTGTGGCGAAACGTGTTTACAGTAAAGTTAACCAATGTTGACATGTGTCTAATTACATTAACTTGTGTCGGTTCTGAGCATTATCACTCCCCAGCACTTGCTGTCGACGTTTCAGTGTTTTCTACATGTGTCTAGAACTGCATGACGGCCCTTGGATATGGTCTTCATACATTAGGTGGCTGGACGTCTAAGAACCCAGGACGTCTCCTGGTTCTTGCATTCATGCTACGCATTGAGTCTACGAGCTCGGCAATGTTCCGTGGTCTTTGCATTCACTCCTTGCGACGCTGCGCATCCAGGAGTTCGCTGGCATCTTCTCCAGTGTGAGTCGGGACAGAATCTTCATTACTAACGGCCAGCTGAGGACATCCCCAGTGGAAACACCTGAAAGTAGGCATACCACTTAATGCTCTCGTTATTATTTGGATGTCTATTCTTATATTCGTGAGATGCGCTAGAGCATCCTACGTCTGGGGAATTGAAGGTAATGATGCGATGCGTGAAAAATAGGAAGAGAGAGAAAGCTACAGGATTTTGGATAGGAGCCCTTCACCAGCATCTCAAAACTCTCCCTGAAAGGACTGAATATGTCACCACTATTATCACATTGACAAGGTTAAGGATCCCTAGCTTTATTGACAAGCTATTTACAGGAATCCTTAACCTGTAAATAGCTTGTCAATAAAGCTAGGGATCTTTAACCTTGTCAAACCCTGTGTAAAAAAAAAAAAAGAGAGAGAGAGAGAGAGAGAGAGAGAGAGAGCATGAATGGCAAAAGACCTGAAGTCCACACCAAGGCTATTTCTAAAGAACTATCTTCATCTATCTTGATTAATAACTCTCAGCTATTATCTAGACCAACTGTACTGCTTAAGTAGGTCACGTTAGATAAGTATGTGCTGAGGGCCTCACCTTCAAACAGGAAGCTAATTAACAGTATTTAACATAACATATTTATTAAATAACACTAATAATTTTTCTCTCGTAATCATGAAGTTAGAAAATCATGTGGAATTCGCAGTATTACTAAACACTAATAATACTATTACTACTACTAGACGCTCCTAGTTCTGCATCTAGATACTGCACTGTAGGTGGAAATGAGCAGCGGAGATGAACTCATATCCTTAGCTGTTTTTCCTATCTTCGCTATCTTCTTGCCGAATAAGGCAAGCAAAAATTTGTGTATGCAATAATTTCGCAAAAATCATTCTGAACCCAACGATAAAAATATATTTAATTGTGTTTGTTAATTATTACTTTACTGAAAACTTATCTAAAATATACTTAGTTGGATTAGGCTAAATTAAATTGCGCTTGTTATAATAAGGTTAGGTAAGTTTTCTAAGGTTCTTTTGGTACAAAATTATGTATTTTTACGTTAACAAAAATGAAAAAAAATATCTAAGCATAAGAGAATTATTTTTAAGAAATGACTTAATTTTAAATGAGTTCTTGCTACTTAGTCGATTTTACCTATTCGGCACGGCACTATTTATTAATATATATATATATATATATATATATATATATATATATATATATATATATATATATATATATATATATATATATATATATATAGTGTACTAACATCTTAAATACTTAGCATTGTTCACTTTACCTTGAGATCTTTCCTTAAGCAAACTGCCACGAGAAAAATATACACTCCTTGAAGACTGTTTAAAGATGTCGATGATGATGACTCTGTAAATCAGTGATATTTTCATTCGATGTGGTTAAAATGGCAGTGTGTGTGGCTGCCTCACTGTGTGAAAAGTAACCCAACCCTTTATGACCCTATTTTGGGCCCCTAACGTAATAGTGCATAGGTGGGTTTTGCCCACCGTGTGAGAGAAACGGAAAAGGGGGGGCTGTCCACACTGTTAAACAATGGCTTTTCTGCCACACTTGTAATAACCTCGTTTTTGCCACCTGTTGTATAATGGCAGTGTTTTGGGGTTTTCCTACCTTGGAAGTAATCAGTTTTCCCCTATTTAAATACAATTGTTTTTCCCTAATTGAAGTGAATCATGTGGTGGTTTCCCCTACAAACTTGAATAGTGACACTGGCAGGTGGTGGTGACACGGGAAATCATTGGCAGGTTTATTTCCTACCTTTGGGGAAATAGGAAGGATTGTGTGGCTTCCAACTTTGATGTAATTATTTTTGGGGGTTTCACTGTTTTATATAACTATTGTTGGTCCCCTAAATTAAATTGCCGGGATTTTGTGTCTGTCCACATTTTTTTTAGTACCTTTTTTTCTTCAAAAAGTTTTTTTCAGGCAATTGGGGTTCTTCCAACCGTTTTAATCCGGCATTTTTTTTTTAAATTTATATAAATATGTTTTTTAATTTATATAAATTTTTTTAAATTATATAATATTTTTAATTAATATAAATTTTTTTTTTAAATTAATAAATATTTTGTGTCTAACTTTTAAAAACACAGTGTTTTCCTCATTTTTACAGAAAAACTCCCCGGGTTTCTCCCTAAAGTTAAAGTGAAATGCATGTGTGGGGGTTCCCCACATGGGTAACACGGGCAGTGTGTGGGGCTGCCCTACACTGTGTGATTGCCTGGCAGTGGGTGTGGCTGTCCTACACTGGTGATAGTGACACTGGCTGGTGTGCTGCCCCTACACTGTGTGATAGTAACACTGGCAGGTGTGTGGCTGTCCTACACTGTGTGATAGTGACACGGGCGTGTGTGTGGCTGCCTACCTGTTGATGTGACACTGGCTTGTCCTTCACACGTTTTGGGACAGTGTGTGGGGTGCCTCCACTGTTGATAGGACACGGGCAGTGTGTGGGGCTCCCTACGTGTGGATAGTGACCGGGCGGGGTTGTGGCTTCCAACATGTGTGATGGCATTGGCATGTGTGGGCGTCCACACTGTGTAAAGTAAATGGCAGTGGTGTGGCTGTCTACACTGTGTGATAGGGGCCGGATGTCCTTTTTCCCACACGTGTAAGGACAGGGGGTGTGGGGCCCCCCAAAACCGTGGTAGTGACCTGGCAGTGTGTGTGGCTGCCCAGTGGATAGTGCAGGGGCAGTGGTGTGGTTTCCTAACTTTTGGGAAAGAACACTGGCATGAGTGGGGCTGCCTTTTCATGTTGAGTAAAAGCAGTTGTGTGGTGCCTACATGTGTGAAGTAACACTGGCAGTGTGGGTGGTGTCCTAATGTGTGAGTAACACGGGCAGTGTGTGTGGGCCCTACACTGTAAATATACATGGCAGTGTGGGGGCTGCCTACACTGGTGAAGTAACATGGCAGTGTGTGTGCTCCCCTACACTGTGGAAGTAACACTGGCAGTGTTGTGGCTGTTCTACACTGTGGGGCAGTAACAGGGTTTAAAAATGAGAAATAATTGAAAAATAGAAAAAAGAGACGGGAATGCAGTGTAATACTATTCTTTTTGAAACGTTTTGCCCCCCACATTTTTTTTACTAAAGCCCTCACACTGGGTTCGATAAAAAACCCCTGTGTGGGCGAAAAAACAGCCAATAAAAAGATCACAATTTACTGCATCTGTGAGAGTTGTTGTGGGGGCAAAAATTTTTTGCCAATTATAGTGTTACACAGGATGGGTTTCCCCCCTAACTCTCTCACACAGGGGGGTTTCCCCCCTTACCTCTCCCCCGGGTGGGTTTCCCCTTTTACCCCCACACAGGATGGGTTTTCCCCCTTTAAAATCTCTCACACAGGATGGGGTTTCCCCCCATCCTCTCACACGGATGGGTTTCCTTTTTACTCTTCACACAGGATGGGTTTCCCCCCTATACCTCTCACACAGGATGGGTTCCCCTCTATACTCTCTCACACGGATGGGGTTTTTCCCATACTCTCTCACACAGGATGGTTTCCCCCCTTTTTCTCTCTCAACGGGTGGGGTTTCCCTCTATACTCCTCACACAGATGGGGTTTCCCCCCCTAAAAACTCTCCCCCCACAGGGTGGGTTTCCCCTCTATACTTCTCACAAGGATGGGGTTCCCTTATACTCTCCAACAGGATGGTTTCCCCCCTATCTCTCTCACACAGGATGGGTTTCCCCTCTATACTCTCTCACACGGATGGGGTTTTCCCCCACCCCCCCCCCCAAGGGTTTCCCCCCTTTAAATCTTCACACGGGTGGGGTTTTTCCCCCCTTTTACTCTCTCCCAGGATGGGTTTCCCCCTTTTACTCTCTCAACAGGGGTGGGTTTCCCCTCTTACTCTCTCACACAGGATGGGTTTCCCCTCTATACTCTCTCACACAGGATGGGTTTCCCCCCTATACTCTTCACACAGGTGGGGTTTCCCCCCTATACTCTCTCACACAGGATGGGTTTTTCCCCCCTTACTTTCACACCGGAGGGTTTCCCTCTATACTCTCTCAACAGGATGGGTTTCCCCCCTTACTCTCTCACACAGGATGGGTTTCCCCCCTATACTCTTCACCAGGGTGGGTTTCCCCCCCCTATACTCTCCACAAGGGTGGGTTTCCCCCCTATACTCTCTCAACAGGATGGGTTCCCCTCATACTCTCTCACACAAAGGATGGGGTTTCCCCCCTATACCCCTAACAGGTGGGGTTTCCCCCCCTATACTCTTCAAAGGATGGGTTTCCCCTCTTACTCTCTCACACAGGATGGGTTCCCCCCCATACTCTCTCACACAGGATGGGTTTTCCCCCCTATACTTAACAGGAGGGTTCCCCCCCTATATCTCTCACACAGGGTGGGGTTTTCCCCCCTATACCCCTCAAACAGGGTGGGTTTCCCCCTAAACCCCCACACAGGAGGGTTTCCCCCCTATACCTTTTCCCCAAGAGGGGTTTTCCCCCCATACTCTCCACACAGGATGGTTTCCCCCCTATACTCTCCACACAGGGTGGGGTTTTCCCCCCTATACCTTTTACAAGGAGGGTTTCCCTTATTCTCACCGGGTGGGTTTTTCCCCCTTCTTTACAAGGATGGGTTTCCCCCCTATATCTCTCACACAGGATGGGTTTCCCCTTTACTCTCTCACACAGGGTGGTTTCCCCTCTTACCTCCACACAGGATGGGTTTCCCCTTTTAAAATCTCCCACAGGAGGGGTTTCCCCCCCTTTTTCCTCCACAGGTGGTTTCCCTTATATTTCAACCGGAATGGGTTTCCCCCTTACTTTCCACAATGGGCCCCTCTATACTTTACACTTTTCCCCCTTACTCTTCAAAGGGGGTTTTTTCCCCCCTTACCTCCACCAATGGTTCCCCCCTTTTAAAAATTTCAAAAGGGGGGTTTCCCCTCTTACCTTACAGGTGGGTTTCCCCCTCTATCCCTCCAAGGATGGTTTCCCCCAACTTTCCCCCAAAAATGGTTTTTTTATTTAAAAATTTTTTATTTTAACAATTTTCCCTTTTTCCCTTTCACACGGAAAGGGTTTTCCCCCTTAATTTTCCACGGGTTTTCCCCTCTTAAAACCCCCACCGGTGGGTGTCCCCCCTTTAAATCTCCCCCCCCCCCCCCCCCCTTTTGGGTTTCCCCCTTACTCCTACAAGATGGTTTCCCCCCTTTTCTTTCCCCCGGATGGGTTTTCCCCCTCTAACTTCTACAAGGATGGGTTTTTATATTTCACACGGGGCCCCTTAAACCTTAAAAGGGGACCCTTAAAACCTTCAACAGGAGGTTCCCCCCATTTACTTCCACACAGGAGGGGTTTCCCTCAAAATTTACAAGGAGGGTTTCCCTCTATACTTCTCCCAGGTGGGACCTCATATCTTAAAATTTTCCCTCTATTACTTTAAAGGATGGTTTCCCCCTTTAATCTTACACGGGGGGTTTTTTCATACCCCCCCACAGGGGGTTTTTAATTTCAAGGGGGGGTTTTAGTTTTATCGTCCCAGGAAGGGGTTCCCGTTTTCACCCACGCTGGGGTAAAATTGGTTAAAAATATGTTAGAGAGTTGGGGGAAGCTACTTCCTTATTTATAATAACCTATAATATATTTTAATTTTCTTCTACCCCCCCGGGGAATTGCTTCTTACGTTAATGCCATTTTAAGGTTACTTTTTAACAATTTACCAATTTTGAAAGTAAGGGTTTTTACCTGTTCATGGTCAATCCCAAGACAGACTCAGTAATTTTAAGCATCCCCTAAAATAAATTTAAGGATAAAGGATAACAAAAAGGTTTTTTATAATTTAGAATAATTTAATAAAATTTTATTATTAATTTTAAAATTAACATTTTCTTCACATTTTCGGAAAAAGAGGGCCTGTGAAGAAACACAACAAAATAAATACGCTACAAAAATTTTAAAAACCATACTTATGGTTTTTTTGGGTGTTCCACTCTCGATCTTATTTTTCCTTACGGATCACGAGGGAATAAAAATACCCTGACTAAGAGACCCAGGATGAGCGTACTGGGCCCCCGCGGGGCCACAAAACACGGTTTTTAGAATTCCCTGGCGTAGAGTTTAAGATAGTAAGGTTTAAAAGGGGGCCACATAAAGCCCTTTTTTTGGTAAAAACACATATGGAAAAAGGATTTTTTTGAAAGTTTGCCCTACACAGAGGTTTTGCATAAGAAAATTGATGAAGCGAAGAGCTTTAAGACGTGTAATGTCCTCACTTTAAATTTTGAGGTGGTCGTCCCTCGTCGGAAAAGAGCTTTGTTCCTAGTCTGAAAAAATTTTGTTCATGTGAGCTTTAAATAATAAAGCTCCCAAATGGTGCCAC